AACTTAATATCGAAATTATTAAAATTTGTATTCGTAATCAAATTAAGGTGTTCAAATTTTTTTTGAATTTTGAACAGTGGAATCGTGTTGCTCGTCTCAAAACCTATAATACTAGTATAATAAAAAATACAAAAAATGTTTTTTTTTGTTTAATATATCCGTTGGATTTTGCATGTTTTTTTTTCAAAGAACACTATTTTTGACCAATTTTTTTAAGGTCAAATTTTTGGTTTTGGAATAACTCGCAATTTTTTTTGGCAATTTTTTTGCTGGCAGTGTCCTCCATATAAAAGAAAATTGTCGACATACTTTGTATGGAAAAAACGTGAAACACCTTTAACCAAAAAAATTCTCAAAAATCAACGGAATTTTTTAGCCGCTTGAAACTTGCACTTCTTCAGACTAGAATTGAATGTGCTACAAAACTGCATACCAGAATTTTTTCTAAAGATTCTGATTAAAAAGTTTGAAATTTGGGTGAAAAATTGCAAAATTTTTATAATTTTTATACAAAGTTTAAAATCTGAATTTTTATGGTGTTTGTTGTATAGCCAGCTAGGCTTTTATAAAAAAATAATAAACAAAAGACAAATAGCCAAAACTGGTCAAAATATCGCACTCCTATTATTTTGTGGACAACTGTATGTATGTATGTAGCTTAAAATCGCAAACAAATTACTTACATATACATGTGTACATACATATATTTAAGTCCAAGTAGGTACTACATCAGCAAGTCGCAACAAATAATAGTGTTTAATTTATAGTAGCTACTTGACAGCGCGTGTATTATGTAGCAGTCGAAATGTCAGTAGCACTCAACTTTGAATTGCCAGCAATTTGTTATTAGAAGACGACTTAATATGCATGTTAATGCCGTCACCCACCAGCGAGCGTGAAGGTGTGGAGGGTGGAGGAAGAAGGCGCCAACCATTACTTGCGAGAACATTTAAATTTTGCGCGGCAATAAAGAAGAGTCAAGAAAAACATGAGGCGGTAGTTTACTTAACTAGCTAATAATGAAAAAAAAATGAAACACGATTTATGTAATCTCAGTTTGGACTGAACTTAGTTGAAAATAGAAATTGATAGTGCGATCTGATGATGGCCACATTGAAGATATGTATGTATGTATGTGTGCCCCATGCCCATTTATAACGCGGAAATCGCCGCTTAAAAATAAACAATGGATAACTAAAATAAACTAAAGCGTAATTTATATGGGCACGAGCGATTTAGCTCGAACGAGCTTTGTGGCCGCCGCTGCTGCTTCTCAACCATAACTTTGCTAGCATTGCCCTTGTCAACAAACAGATTACCCAATAGCCAAGAATATTAGCTGTGTGTTGGTATGTACATAGTAAACTAAGAATACAATGGAAACGAATTACGTATAAATAAAGAGCTGAGAATACAATGGCGCGGGTAAAACGAAAAAACAAAAAATCAATTACATAAAAATATAAATAAATATGTATACATACATACATATAAATAAAAAACTAAAAACAATTGCTTGAAAAATGCTACATCTACATATATCAGGTAAAACAGACGGCTTGTGAAAAAAATTTTATTTTGAAAATGATAGCAAGACGAGTTGGCGAGCATATCACTCTACGCTCTCAGTAGCACATCTCGAATTTCAGATTCAGTAGCCGGAGCTGGCGTCAAACGGTACTTACAGAGAATTAGTAGCTAGAATTTGTATGTTAATTTCAAAGTACGACAGACGCGTTTTATTATTATTATTTAATGTCGGTGACGAACTGTGTCTGAGCATCTCAACAGAATTGAAAGCTTGAAGAAATTACACACATACTTAAGTACTCGTACATACGAACAAACATAAGTTCTTAAGTATTAAATCACCTAAGCGCTAGACTCCAAGATGGTGAACCCCCCAGGTCCGTGCTTTTTAAGGGGCCTGAAATTTCATAACCATAAATTGTTATTATTTTTTCAAAATGTAATTGCACCTTTATTATAGGCCTTTATTATAAATATATTCCGATACGTGTTTTGAATTAATACAATTTATGTACAGGGCCCCGAGTTTTCTCTCGACGGCCCTGGTTGGACACTCAACTTAACGGGCTGATCGATTCCAGTCGGAAAATTCGTTCGGGTAGCCGTCAGCCCGTTACCCGCTATCCGCTGCAATTATGTTTACTGTCAGTGGGGGCCGTTGAAGCTGTGCTTGCTTGTTTGCTGTTCGAACAAAGTTTATGATTGTATATTTGATTTTTGAACGTCTGAGAAATATTTAAAAAAAAATCGTGCAAATTATTGGACTTCTTTTTATATTTTAAATTGCCCTTCATAACTTTTAATAAAAAAAATATGCATACAAAGGCTGCGACATTAAATTATGATTTTGAGTAAATGCAAAGCCTATTTTCTAAACCGAAAGAAAACCTGGGCCTAAGCGTAAAAACTGTCAAAGAGGTGATCATCACACGGCAGACGGGGCGTATGAGTGACCGCCTTCATTGTTGACTTTGCAACGAAAATTGCGGATCTAGTAAATTAATGTTGATATAAAAATAGCAGCTGTTTGTTGCTAAATTGGGTAGCCGACGATGCTCATATTTATACGCACCAAAAGCATATCAGGATGTACATACATATAAACATACTCAAAATCACATCGAAACGCCTTAAGCAAAATTCACATGCTCGTAAGTAAGTAAACATATGTATATATGTATGTATGTACATATTTATGCAGATATGCATTCGCGATCAATTTAAACCATTTGATGCTAATCATAATTTTTTTTTTTTGCATAAAATCACTTCGCACTGCATACAATGATTGAGCATCGTCATTGCCGTCCATCACAGCACAACAATCACTTGGCTAGCAACAGGCCTTCCATTTTAAAACATATTGCTATAAATACATACAGAAATAATATAATCCATTAAGTGCATATTATGTACATAGTGCTTCCATACTTACAAACATACACCATAGACACAAGCTTTAGCTCATTCAATAAATTACCGCAATTGAGATGAAGTAGGAAATGAGTTTGCAACAACAAAGCATAGCAAAGATGCTGCTTGGCATCCAGCGTTAAAGTCTCGAAATAGAAGAAGAAGAAGGCGAGCGAAAAAAAGTTACTGTAATTGTATACTACACGCGTACAAAATTAGATTTTTATGCTTGGTTATAAAAGAATAACCGTTGCAGACGCGATTCTCTCAAATTTCACACAAAAAAAAAAAAAAAACACACACACACACAACCGCACATAGTAAATAAATTTGCAACAGCAAAATTAATGGCAGCCAGTAAGCGTCAAATTTTATAACGTAAAAATTTAGGAATTAAATAAATACATATTTAAATAGTATGTATGTGTGAACTAATTGTTAAAATTTATCGACTTGAGGAGAGTAAATAAATAGGTAGTCCAAATGCTTTAGAACGTCACACTAGAACTATAGACGATCTAGTAAACCTGGATGTCATAAAAATTAGTACATAATTGCATTGGAAAATTAAGTACATTTATATTAAAGTTGATAGTTAGCCCCTATTGCAAAAAATGTGGTATATTCTTTTAACCAGACCCACCTACCGACATGTACTTCGACCCACTCAATCCGAATCTGAGGTCTGTTTGACTCGTATACCTCCTAAGTTTCGAGTAAACTACGAAAAACTGAAAAATGGCGAGAAATTCGCAATTTTCGCAATTATCTTGAAATTTAGAAGGTGTCTCGGATCTCAGATTCGGATTCAGTGAGTCCAAATACATGTCGGTAGGTGGGTCTGGTTTAGAGCACACACCACTTTTTTTTTAGTGCGCCGAGGTAGTAGATTGGCGCTTGCCCAATATATTAGCGTTTGGACGAGCTTCCACTCCGATTTGAGGCGAGGGACCTACAGTTTGACGGCGATAGTATTTTTATGAGAAGCTGTTTTTCATGGCAGAACTGTATTAATTAAATCTTTAAAACATTACTGAAAAATATTAAATATGTAGAATGGTTGCATGGTTGCAGCAATTAGTGCTGCCATTGAAAACTCCACTAAATTTTCTTTTCGGTGATTTTTCGAATACAGTTTCACCAAAATTGTTGACTGACATTTTAAATGCAAAGCACGCCGCCTGCAATTATCCAATCGTTGGCCCCTGCATTCGCTTGCCTTTGTTTGTTTGCAACACACACAGCGCAATGTACCAATGCGTTAATCGCAAAATTAACATTNACCTTTGTTTGTTAGCAACACACACAGCGCAATGTACCAATGCGTTAATCGCAAAATTAACATTGCCACACCGCCAAAACAGCACGTCGAAACTGCTTGCCACATAGCATGCCACTTTGTGTGGCATTATCAACATTTGCAAAAGGACGACAGTGTCGCTGCAGCTGCAACCTGTCGGCATCGACCAAATACAAAAGCGCTCCCATTTCACTGAAGTCAACATCAAAAAAATTTGTTGCAGGAGTTGACGGAGAGCAACGCAAAGCCGCTTTGGCTGCAAAAGCGCCACAAACTGCTGCAAAAAAACCAAAACTGAAAGCAGACACAATAAACTATTTGCTGGTCGCTGCCTGCCATTTGCTCGCCGTTTATTCACTAGCCTAATTTCCGCTTTGGTGCCGCGCGCGCGCGGTTGGGGTTGGCAACCAGCTGGTAAACTAATTTAAACTTTTGTGTGCGATGCAGTTAACCGAGAGTGTTTGGTTGCGCGTTTGCTATCTGCTAGCAGGATCCTACATTTTGTAGCTACAGCAAAGTGTCATTTCGAAGTTGTGCCACCATTTTTTTTTTTTTTGCTTCGTTCCTTTCGCTTTTGTTTATCACCTTACCTTCTACTTCTCATCTGCCGTTCCATCTAAGTACATACGTACACAAAAACTCTTGAGAAACGCCTTCATTGCATTTCGTTTACATTTCTTTGCATGTCCTGTTACGCCCACGCCCACACTGCAACAACAACAAACATGTGGAACGCCAATACCTACCCATACAAAAGCTGCGCATTTCTACCAAATAGTGCCTGCGGTTAGCGTCGGCGGTCCGGCTTTGGTGCGGCTGACGCGCGATCTCTCTTCTGCCAGGATGATGTTGGAGCAGCCGGCGGCAAAGGAATTCGCTTCGACGGCGGAGCCTCAACCGGCCACACTCGACCAGCCACAAGGTGAGCAGGCAATGCGATGCCGGCAGCAACTATAATTACATATCAGAAAGCGCCACCAACACCTGGCGACTGCCGAAGTCGGTGAGCGGCCGGCACTACTTAGAGCCACTTGAGCGTGTCAACTGGCGCTTTGGAGGCGTTCAGTGGCGGCAGCTCTTTGGTTGTTGGCTGCTGTTGCGGTGTCGCTTATCTGAACTAACATTTCGCAATTTTCTTACTTCGCTTTTTTCTATTTTCTTATTTCGTTTTTGTTTTTTTCAATTTTTTCCGTGCCTACCGGTTTGTTTGCTCGCCTCTTCCGCTGCTGTTCGTCGTTCGTCCGTCATTCGTGGTCGTCTTTGTTCTGCATCTGCATTCGTTCATTCGCCGCATATCGGTCGTAGGTCAGTGTTTGCTGGACGGTGTTCTCGTGATGGAGACTAAGGCAACCTGCGAGAAGCAAGTGGGATGTCGTGCCATACAGAAGACAGGATACTGTTGTCCTGATTACAAGTGCGGTAAGTAATAGCAGATTGTTTAGTATTTTGTTTTGCCCGGCAGAAGGATGTACTTTGCAAGATTCAGGGTCGTACATATTTCGAGGCTTTAAGTAACGGTTTTAAAGATATTCTCTTGCTTATGAAAGTGTGATTATACCAAAGAGATATCTTTGCAAAGCACCTTGGACATTTTCAAATAAATTTTGACATTTTCCAAAAATGGCTAGGTTTTGATTCATTTCAGCATCGATCGAAACTGGGACTCATGATAAAATAATTTTTAGAAGTTTTCAATTAATCTTTCGTGGTCAATAACAATTCGCTTAGACCTAATAAATCATAATATTACTATTACAATACGGTCAAATGCCTTTTATTTCCCCCCATACAAAATCGACCCGGCCTAATACTTATGTAGTGAGTTAGTCATTTAGTTGTTGCAAGCTTAAGGCTGGTATGTAGCTCTCAAGAAAGCGGTCGTGAAAAAAATTGCCATTAATTCGTGTGTGTGTGTCCAAGGAATTTTGACAACTGATACCTCACTAGGCTGTTGCCTCGCTCTTTCCTCAAGAAATAATGTAACGGGCATATATTTCTGTTTCAAGCATGGGTTGCCTTACGTTCTTTTTTCACCAAAAACTTTAGAAAACCATAGTAGAAAGCGGAGCAAATTTCTTAAAACCTGCGTACTGCCTAAAGAAAATTTTGACACAAGAAAGTTTCTTAGCCATTTCTTGTACATCATTTTATATGGAGCTTTTGCTTTTCTTGAGAGCTGCATACTGGCCTTTAGCTGTAAAAGACACTTCCCTGCAGGAAAATATACTCTTTCCTTTCGTACTAATCGGGCTCTAACGAAATATGATTCGAAACTTTTTCTGATTTCCTTTAGTTTGCTATTTCTACATATAGACATACATATGTACATATGTAGCCAAGAGCAAAGAACGATTTCAGCTGTTAACTCGTTGAGTCGATTGCCTGTAAGGAGTAAGGAGGCATTTGGGCCTGAGAACTAAAGTAGTTCACAACTGATGACTGGATTTTTTTTTTCTGCTTGCTTATTTTATATCTTAATGTATGCAAATACGTAGGAATAAGTACATATATATAGTGTATCTACATTAGTGTATGCAAATGTGCGAGCTAAGTGCAATTTTGTTGATTTTTCCCACCTTTCCTACTTTTACACATACAAACAAACATGCATATACACATACATACATACATATGTACATTCACAACTCATACTTTATCTGTATTTTAATATTGCTGAGACCACTTTTTATTTATGTACTTATTTTTGCTTTGTTCTTCTTTTTTTTCGTTCATTTTCATTCATGCATTCACAGATTGTCAGAAGGATGGCAAAACTTATTTGAATGGCGATAAGTTGGTAGACCCGGAGACACCCTGTACGGTGTGCTATTGTCAAGGTTAGTGTGAATCAAAAGCGTTGTGTAGAAAAATAAAATGAATGCAAGTGCAGAGTACATAAGTTACGAATCTGATTTCGAGATAAAATGAATTGTGTTGTTGCAATGCTATAATGTTCATATACACTTATGGCCACGCAAGCCTTACAATTACTTAAAAAAAATTAATAAAAAAATATTATTTTTTATTTTTTTTTTAATTAGTTAACACATACCAAATATCNGAATTGTGTTGTTGCAACGCTATAATGTTCATGTACACTTATGGCCACGCAAGCCTTACAATTACTTAAAAAAAATTAATAAAAAAATATTATTTTTTATTTTTTTTTTAATTAGTTAACACATACCAAATATCTATACGTATATATATATATATATACCCAAGTTCAAGTTTCAAATTTTTTAATCAAAATTTTTAGAAAATTTTCGGGTATACAATTTTATAGCCCATTTAATTTTAGTATAACAAAGTGCAACTCAACTCAAACTCAAAATTCTGTTTGATTTTTGAAAATTTTTTTCCATTCGATGTTGAGCTTTTTTCCCATATAAAACCATTGGCTAAAAAATTTCAAAAATCACCTATAATTATGGTGCTCTTCAAGCTAGCACATTATTATATTAAATTAGATTAATAAACTGCTTGCCCGAGATTTTCCTAAAAAGTTTGACATTTTGATGAAAATTCTAAGAATTTTTCTAAATTTAGTACAACGTTTTAAACTATAATTCATGTGTATGTATTTTGTTTTAGTGTGAACTATATTTAAAAAGCACAAAATTTTTTTTAATTATTTACAGAATAAAAATTACAAATTTTGAAATTTTTAAGAGTGTTAGATGCATTTTTCTAAATTATGTACAAAGTTTGAAGCTTTTATTTACATATATAGGTAAAACTATATTTAAAAAATAAATAATATTTTTTTTATTAGTTTATAAAATTCTCATTTTTTTTTTTAAGTGGTGGTAAAGTTTGCGGACCACAAGTGTACGTAGTATGCACGTATGTAGTTATGTATGTATGAAATTTTATTTGTTTTTTAATTCTGCTGCCACAGGTGGTGAAATACTCTGCAGTTCGGTTACCTGTTTCTATCGCGACGACTGCAAGCCAAAATATGTACAAGGACGCTGTTGTCCGGAATATGACAATTGTCCAGGTGAGTAGAGGGCTTAACTTTTTTAATGTTATGAAACAAAGAATTTATAATAAAAAAAATCTATAAGAAAAATATTTTAAATGGAAATCCGAGTCTAATCATATTGCGGAAATCACATTTTCATCAGTTTAATTAAAAAAATAAATATGTGAATGAATCGGAATTTCTAGGCAGAAAGTTAAGTGCCTTTTTTATGAGCCGAAAATCGTCAAATAGTTAAGATAATTTTAAACCGAGAAGGTTTTTAATAACTCGCCCTGAACTACAATTTGTACTAGGTCACTCTTAAAGTTCATTTCTTTTATTTATTTTTAACCGACTTCCAAAAAAGGAAGAGGTTATCAGTTCGTCGGAATATTTTTATTTTTTTTTTTTTGGCATCGGAAAGGTAGTGTCTCAGAGGTGGTCCCATACTAATCTGGTTTAGATCCGATCATTGGATCATGAAATATATATTTTTTTAAGTCGGTTTGTTTTTTGCTAAAAATTACTTGTTTTATTTATTTATGTAGTAAAAATCAAAATTATACCCAAAAAATTCATCTTCTTCCACCAACAGTTTCCATTTTGGATCCCAGTCAAAATGTAAACAAATCACAACATTCGCCAACTCCAGCTGCAGAAATGAACGCCGCGACAGCGCAGCCGTCTTCACCCGTGCCACCTGTGGTCGCGAACAATCCGAAAATCACCATCAAAGAGATCACCAAGCCGATTGAGATACGTATTACCGATGACAACAAAGCCATACCGATTCATCAAATGCTCAAGCCCCAAGCTACGACTACAACCAGCACAACGACAACAACAACAACAACCACAACTNAGCNANCGCCGGTAACAACATCAACAGCAGCAGCAGCAGCAACAGTTGACAGTGGCAGCTCGACTTTGACGCCGCCGCCGCCGCCAACACCATCAACAACAACAACAACAACGGCGGCAAGAACAAGCGCTTTATCGCCAACTACACCAACAACAAGAGCTGATTTGGAGCAAATACACAGTGGTGAAAATACATCCATCCCCACCACGGCAAGTTCAAGTGGAAACACAGGCAATAAGAAAGCTACCAGCGTAGACAACAACCCGCCAACGGTACTTCCAGTCACTGGGGGCGTTAATAACGGTGAGAGCTTAAAGCTCAGCGCTTCAGTCGCTTACCCAAGCACAGAGCGCAACACAGTGACAGTTATTATACCAGCACAAAGTGTGGCGAGTGCCAAAAATAGTAGCAGCGATAGTGGTGAAATATCCGCGGAGGTGGCGCCACTTGCAGAGGAGGGCAGCGCGATACCCGCGTTTGGCGCGCAGCAACTGCAACACGACGCATCGTCCAATGATCCAACGAAAGTGAATATCAAGCGCGAAAATTTGGCCACAACGGAACGGGAAACGGCAGCGTCGACTGCTGGTGAAGAATTCGGTTCACCCGAGCTGATAGATGGCAATGGCAGTGGACAAAGCGGCGGTCTGCAACTACAAGGTACATTCGATTTGGAACCCGAAACATCGGGCAGCGATAACATTTATCACATCATTCTAACCACATCTGGGCCAAGAGTGAATGAATATACAGATCCCTTTGCTGGATTCAAGACAACTGAAGGTAAGTCCTGGGGGATACTATCATCTGCAATTTCAAATAAATAAATAAATAAAAAAGGCATAAGCTGTTTGAGAAGTTCATTCGAGGTATTCAGGAATTACTCAAGCATCATATGCTGCATACTTCCAAGCGCATTATCTGCTCTATGCCAGCAGCTACATATTTCACTAACCTTTTCCCCCATTTTTCATTTCCACAGATGCTCCACACGGCTCAGCCGTTGACATACAAGCCGCAGCTTCCAATCAACAACACACCGTTGTAGTGCCACCACCACAACTTTCAAACACAACCGACTCTCCTTTCGATTCCGATAGTACAACGCGACAAGCAACGGCTTCCCCAACCGCTCCCAGCTCGAGTCCTGCCTCCGCCTACCCAGCTTCAAGCACAGACGCGCCCGAGTTTTCTTCTACCTCTACAGAGCCGGTCAAACCGCTACACTCCACCGAAAGCGGCCATCATATGGAAGAAGAAGAGGCGGCCATACCAATAGAAGCTAATCCAGCGTATCCTTCGCTGCCCGAAGATGACTTTAGTTTGCGCGATGTCACTTTTCCGCTAAATGAAGCCGATGATGCTGTCGAGACAGATGTTAAGGATGAACAGCGTAGCATTGGTGGCGCCGCCTTTGAGGTAGTAAAGGTGCGGAAGCCAGCGGAGGAAGGTAGCGGCAGTGGCTTTGAACTAATTGAAGGCTCTTCGACTACGGAATACGAGGGCTTAAGCAGCGACAGTACCAGCGAGNGAAGACTTGTCTAGTGAAACCGCCATCTCGAACAGCAGCGACTTTCAATTAGATCGCTTCTCGCGGCTCGCCAGCAACGGTACAAAAGAATCGGCAGAAACAGAGGAGTTGGGTAGTGGAGAGTCGGCAGAAGCCGTCGAACAGAAGCTGGAGAAACGACGCGAGCCGACTACACCACGACCAAAACCACGCGCCGCCGCCGACGTGGACATCGATGAGCTGGGCGACGTTGCTTCCGGCGATGGAAATAGTGACCCGAAAGAAGACCCCAAGCTGGACGCGGAGAGCATAAAGGCAGATGAGGATGTAGAGGAAGGCATAGTTAAGCAGGAGACGGGCCAGAAGGAGGATGTGCTGACGGTGAATGCCAAGCCGACGGAGGAGCGGACGGTCGAGGAGATGCCAGCGGCGACTTTGGATAGAATCCAGCGATTGTTCCTGCAGCGCTTTATTTGAAATTAATTACATTTAATAAATAAAAAAATAAACAACTCAGCTAGAGAATATTGATATGTATGAAGATGACGAGTAGAAACTGTAAATATGTTAAAGGTAAATAGGCTGGAGGGATTCGTACGAAAAGCAGGGAGTTAAAATTGTAAGCAAAGCAAAGTAAAGTTCAAAGATTTTTTTCATTGCTGTTAGAGAGAAAACCTTTGGGAATAGAACATGATATTAGTCATCTCGTTTTCAATAAAAATTGGTATTCCACGGAACGTTGCATACTTTTTGGAGAGCATCATTGAAATTCCTACATTTTTGGTGAAACATAAAGCCATAAATCACTTTAAATAGCGATACGTATAACTAATTTTAAAAATTTCATTGTAAAATGCTTTACGAGTATGTATGTATATTTTAATTAAAATTTAAGACTAGTTTTAATAAAGCTAAAATTATTTGTAAGTAGAACGATGCAGTTTTAGGTAATGAAATATATGTATTGACAAATACAACGAAAATGTAACGAGAAAAGCTGGGCTCCTGAAATGCAATAACTCAAATTACATGTATAGACATGCATACATACTGATATTTATCATTCGAAAAAAAAAAACACAAATAGAATAAATGGTAATTAAAATAAATTATTTGCAATAATTTAAATTTAGTAAATATTTACATTTGCATAACAACATACTCACACACACACACTAAAATTTTATTACAACGCAAAATTTTGAGAAAAAAAACGCCAGCAACACTTGGGTGATTCCTTTAAACTTGAAATGTTTACTAGGAAATTCGAAAATCACAAAAAATTTTTTTTCAAAAGGATTTCGAGAGTTCGTTCAAAGTTTGAATACCTTCCATCTTTTCCAGGCTTTTTTCCAGTTTAAGGAAAAATCCATAATATCTACTTATGTGTTTTTTTAATAAAAATTGAATACCGAATTGATTTATTTTACTTGGTTACTAATATTATTGCCTTGGCCTAAACGAAAACCAATTCAAAGTGGTATTAGTTCCTGCAGTTAAGTTTAAAAAAATTGTATTTAATAAAAAAAACTTTATTCTGATAAAATAAAGTCAAACTATTTTATTTTCGCTTTTAAAAATATTATTTATCGAAATCGTTTATGAACACTATGTAATTGTTGCAACTAATGCTAAAGATTAACTAAATTCGTTTTACTGAAAACGAAACTAAGAATTGTAAATTGTATGCAAAACTCAATGCTTTAAAAATGAATTTTTTATATCTGCAAATTTGCGAACCCAATATTTCGTATTTAAAGGAAAAAAATATTTTTTATTCAAGATTTTTATATACAAAAAAATTGTTTTTGTAGTAAAGAAAAATAAAATTAACTGATTTTTAAATGCTATCGAATTTTTTCATTATACATTATGCACTGTTCTCACTTAAACACAAATGGCGAAAAAACAGATGTTGTGTCCAGTGTGCCACAAGTTTACATAAATGTGTCGCAACCAGGTTTTAAGCACTAAAAAAAAATGTTGTTAGTGTAAAGGTAAATATAATCTAATTATTAAGTAAAGTAAAGATTGGCAGTATAAGCTGACAAAAATAGTACTGCAAGAAATATTATATACATATCTGGTATTATTCATTGATTTTCAGATGCTTACGAACAAACATTTGTAAATTAGTGAATTTAATTTAATTTTATAAAAAACGAAAAATATATAGAAATCGTAGTCTTTTTCTAATTTGAAAGCTTTTATTTTAGACTGAAAACTAAATATTAATTTTATTATGTTTTTAAAATAGTTTAAAATAAACGCCCATTAATTAGATTTAATATATTCAAATTAACAATTATTTCGAATGAAAATTGGTAACTTTAAAAGTAAGTAAAAAACTTTAGGAAGAAATTGTTTGCAAGAAAAAGTTCAACCGAAAAAAACCGATAAAAATTCATCCTTTTGAAGCTTGAAAAAATCACTATTTGAATTAAGTCACTTAAAGATTAATTGTGTATTTGTTACTCTTTAATTATTTTGGGTTTGTTATACATATTGTAGCAATTTATATAATACATATACAAATCTAGCTTTGAATGTAAAATTCAACAAAACTTTGTATTCATATTTAAGTTATAAAAGATAAGACAAACAAATATTTAATAAATATATTTACACACACGCACACATATATAGAAGTACATAAAAATGTGTGCGGAAATGTGAAGAATATCTAAATATTTCTAAGTTTAATATAAATAAATGTACGAAATTTAATAAAAAGAAATATATTTTTGTTTTAATTCAATCAATGCGGCATCGACAGAAAAGTTTAGGCCTCCATTCTCTTGCAACCTATTTAAAAAAGAGTGGGCAGGGGGAAAGCAAATTGCATGTTAATTCCAAAATTTCGGTTCAATGCTAAAACTGTACATACATTCTAGGCTAGACCGGAAAATTTCTGTAGAAGAACCAAACCACAAAGCTGGATTCACTCAAATGGCCTGATGGCTCTTAAACGGAGACTAGGATTGAAATTCTTCCTGTTCCTCTAAAGATTCACTTACCCGGAAATCAGGTGAAGGTTACGCCTTCCTCTCCCCCCACTGGAGAGGTAGCAAACACGAGAACCTCTGTAATAAAGTACAACTGGTTTGTTGCCATATTGAGTCTTTTGACAGTTTTAAATCGCCCGGCCCGGATGGCATTCTACCTATTCTACTTCAAAGAATTATTTCCGTGTACTATACAGGAGCTTTCTCTACAACATCTGCCGCTGCTCTTGACGCACTGCTGCAGTTACCGTACTTTGTGTCTTCATACGTGGGGAATCCTTAAAGGCCACCTGCAGACTAAAAAGAAACGGATGTTGGTATAAAACTGAGTGAGGCGAAGCGGAAATTGCCGGCGGCAGAGATCTGAGCACTTTTGTCTTTTCAATGCCACAGGATAGTGTGCCACCAGTACCTTTGTTGAAGAATGTTGAATACCCTGAGGCACTGAGCCCGGACTCACACATTGTCGAATCTTCACTGATGGCCTTAAAACTGACTCTGGGTCAGGTACTGGGGCCTTTATCGCAGTTTATGGGGATAAGCTTCACTTTTCTTTTCGGGAATATGCTTCGTTCTTTCAGGCTGAGGTATTTAAGTGGTGAAAAACAGGTAGAGTGGAAGGAGTTTAAGAGTCTGCCGTGACACCTAAGCTAAATTATGTTGTTAAACATAATGAGTTTGCTTTACTCTGGGTGCCAGGTCACTCGGGAGCACCTGGTAATGAGACATTTGACCATTTGACCAGAATTGGCTCAGACCAGGCATTTTTCGGTTCGCAACCAGTTATAGCAATCCCACCTTCGGACTTCGTAGCCACTATCAGAATCTGAGTGAATATTTCTCTGAACAATATCTAGGAGGCATGGAGGGGCTGCAGGTGGGCAGGTGTTGCCTTCAATCTCAGAAGGTCTATCTAGTTTTTCGCTCTTATTGAGCAGACGGGACTGCAGACAACTTGTTGGACTGAGCAAGTGGCCTACAGCATTTGAGGCTCATTGTTTAGCAATCGCTGCCCTATAATTTGAAGGAAAAGCTGGCAAATCAGACGGACGAAGAGCTCTGCAGAATTTTTTCAGATTCAAGGAGGCCAAGCTGTTAAGTTAAGATTTCAAATTATTAGGATGAAATGCCAAAAAATTGCTCTCGAGGAACCTTACCTTACTGCGGGCGCAAATGTTCCATTCTGATAAACCTGTATCCAATGAGAAGGAATGTAAGTCTAGGTTTGAGACTACATTTTGTATGGTAAATCGGCGGTGGCAGAAATCGGATTCAAGTATGTACTCCAACCCTTTTACTGTCATCGAGTCTAACAAAACTTTGAGTAGCAAGCGGCCACAAACCCGAAGCTGGCATCCATGACATAAAACTTCCTGTCAGTGGTTGTCGAGCTACTTAGGCACAGTGCACATTAGAGCGATACGATAGGTGATGCTATAAGCGATACGATATGAAAGCGACATCAACATGCTGAGTACGTGGGAATTGGTAGAAAGCGATGGAAACTGTGCAAACTTGCACGACAGCAATACTGCGGCGACATAATATCGCTTGAGTATCGGTGGAATGACACGGTTTGCTATCACACCGCATATGGTATCGCGTGTCGTAGTGATCGGTCTAATGTGCACTGCGCGCATGTCGATGCCGCTTTACCATCGTATCGCTTATCGTATCGCCTGTCATATCGCTCTAATGTGTAGCGTGCCTAATGCATGGTGAAATTATACTAAATAGGTGTAGTAAAAAGAGCGAGAAGAAAGATTTGACACTATCTTATTTGAAAATTTGCTTGAAAAAGTTCCATAAGATAGCCGAATGTCAAGAAAATTAAGAAAGTAACGCGAGAAAGCTGTTTTATTACTTCACCTGTTTATAATTTCACCATACGGCCAAGGTGTATTAAATACATTTTACATACGACTAATGGAAAGAATTGCACATTTGATTTCAAAAATAGGACAGCCCATATTTTCATTAAAAGTCTGAGCAAAAAAAAACTTTGTTCTACTTGGCCGAGTATAAATTTGTAAGACTTGTAAAACGCGGTTTCAAATCTATGTTCCAAAACTAAGCTTTGAAATTTATTAATTTCTTTTTTTCACTTATAAATAGATCAGCCGATTGAAATTTTAAGACTTATTGGTTTATAGGAAATATGTTCTTCAAGCCATAACCCTCGAAGTAAATGAACTTGAAATGCGTGCGATTACTCTGCAAATCGCTTAATTTTATTTTTTTTTTTTTTCAAAGCGCCCAGCTTTTCATTCACTAACGCATTTTGCCATCATTTTCGCATACTCCTACATACATATGAAAATATTAGCAGACATACATATGTAAATATGTATGCATGTTTTTGCCTTAATATGTTGTAAGCAAGTGAATTGCACGTCGCGCGAAAAAAAAAAAACAATAGCCCCTGCAGCGAACAAACAAGCCAGTGGCCACTACGAGCGAGTATTTAGGTATATTTGGTGCTCATCGTTGGTCTCTTCACCTCCAATTAAGTGCCATCACTGCAAGTGGTTTTCAGCCACTAGACATGCAAAAGCAAGGCAACCAACACCAACACCAACAGCAGCAATGGGAATCACTCTCGACGAGCGGCCAACAAACCAACATTCATTTAACTGCTGGTGTGTAATTGTGGATTCACTTCAAAAGCAACCGAGTGGCCGGCCGCACTTACAATTACTTGTATAATACATATGTACGGGTACATACGAGTACATATTATTACCGCGACCTTACGTAATACAAATTTGGTTAAACTTGGTGCTGTCCATGCCGTCCGCGCTGTCCATTGAAGATGGTGTTGGCAAATTGGTGGCGAATTTGGCGTGCGATTGCAGTTAAGAGCTTTGGTTGGTGAATGCTTTGATTTTACTGTTGCGATTATTGGTAACAGTTTCACAGCTAATAAATTGTAAGCGCTTCTACAAGTTTCTAATGCTTGAGCGTCTTCTAATCGCGCCGAATGCATCTCTCAGCTCAATTGGCAAGAGTTGGGCCACCAAGGTGAACACATTCCACCTACTCTCCTTTCGACAATAATGTTGGCTATACTGTG